ATGCACTCAAAACTCTCTCTCTCTCTCTCTCTCTCTCTCTCTCTCTCTTTCTCCTTCGATGTCCTCTTAATGTTTACGCTCCCGTTAACTGTGCAGTATTTGAAAAACATGGCAGCACCCTCCGTTACAAAGAACAGGGTGACATTCACGACTGGCATTATTATTATTAGTCAAAGGATAACAACATCGAGAGATTGAGAAAAACTCAATTGATAATTCACTTCAGGAGAAAGTACGAACTGAATGCAATGGGGAGAGAGAGAGAGAGAGAGAGAGAGAGAAAGATGGCGGAGAGTGAAAGAGAGAGAGAGAGAGAAAATAAATGATGCACTTTGGAACGTAAAGAACAGGTTATAAAGAAAGCAAACAAAATGGAAACCTATTTACAGTACAGAGTCTTTTCAAAATGGTTCACTTTTAAAAAAATCAGGAGCCATTTTTATGTCTTTCTGAAGGAACTTATATAAAAAGATATTTAGTGTATCTGTTTTAGAAATTATTTATTGGGGTTAAGAACAGTCTGTCTGTCTGTCTCTCTGTCTGTCTGTCTGTCTCTCTCTCTCTCTCTCTCTTTCCCTCTACCTGTCTATCTGTCGGCCACTCTCTCTCTCTCTCTCTTTCTCACTTCCTGTCGATCTGTCTGCCTTTCTCTCTCACTCGCTCTTACACTCATTCTCACTTCCTGTCTGTCTGCCTCACTTTCTCTTTCTCACTTTCTGTCTGTCTGCCTTCCTCTCTCTTCTCTCTTCCTGTCTATCTATCCGCCTATCTCTCTTTTTATCACTTCCTGTCTATCTGTCTGCATCTCTCCCTCTCTTTCTCTCTCTCTCTCTCTCTCTCTCTCCCTCTCATTCTCTCTCTTCAAATTGTTGATCACGCTAGATAATACCCTCTCTGCCAGAAACGGTAACTAAGGTCTGCTCAGCATAGTTGCAGTATAAATCACAGCTGGACTCTGCGGATGTTGAGCAACATAAATGTGCCTGAGCGAGCGTCTGCAACAGGGATTGGCTAGCTTCCTGAATACGAGTGGCCTGCTATTATATATATATATATATATATATAATTATTTTTAAAAAAAATTATAACATAAGTATGTTATAAAATCACTACAAAAATAGCCATTTTGTTTCAACACACTCTGTGTCTTATCAAGTGATGATGTTGAAAAATATATATATATATATATATATATATATATATATATATATATATATGATGGAGCCTCCGGTCGATATCGACCTATGAGGATCCGACAGGCTCGTTCCGTTTTTATGTTTATGTCGTATGTGATACATCAACCCCGCTAGTGACCTGCATATATGCCCACATATTGTGCCACGGAGGTGATCTGTGGCCATAACAACAGGAATATTCTAACTGTCAATACGACTGATTTTAAATTTCAGATAACACGCTGGTACAAATATGTCCATTTACACAATTGCAATTGTGTAGCGATTTTGACTTTCGAGGTTTCCGATGTAATATCCCAAAATAAAGAATAGTGCTCTACTCTGTATTGAGGCCTCTCTTAAATTAAATGTTACGAACGTTGGAATTGTACTCTATCCGTTCTCATCTTACCTGGATACATACAAACATATATATATATATATATATATATATATGAGTGTGTGTATGTGTGTATATGTATATATATATATATATATATATATATATATATATATATATATATATATATATCAAGTATGTGGTGCAGTTCAATTTGTATGAATGATTCATGTAATATATATATATATTACATGAATATATATATATATATATATATATATGAACATATATATACATGAATATATATATATATATATATATATATTATTATATATATGTTCATATATATATATATATATATATATATATATTTTCATGTATATATATATATTCATGAATCATTCATACAAATTGAACTGCACCACATACTTTTATATATATATATATATATGTATACACCTTACGATATTGAGTCATCCCCCCACGAGGGTGTCATGTGGCACAAGGCCTTTTAAACGTGGGCATTCCGAGCCCGTTGGCTCGGCCAAAAATATGCCCATTGAACCCGTATAAACGGGTTCAGGGCCGGTTTACCTCCCCGAAGGAGACTCCGCCCTTCGGCGGATCCTCCTTCGTGTTCCTCCCGTCCGTAGGAAGAGAGTTCAACCGAGCAGTCGGTTCAAAAGTGAACGACTGTCTCACTATGTATACACCTTACATACACACACACAGAGAGATATATATATATATATATATATATATATATATATATATGTATGTATGTATGTATGTATGTATGTATCCAGGTAAGATGAGAACGAATAGAGTACAATTCCAACGTTCATAACATTTAATTTAAGAGAGGCCACAATACAGAGTAGAGCAATATACATATATATATATGTGTCTGTGTATGTGCTGGATACTTGACAGATACATTGTTGGAAATTAGAATCGACGTTCCCATTTTAAATTCCTAGTATCTCTGTTGCATTCAGTTACGTATGTGCACTAATGCCTCTGGAGAAGGTATGCTTCTTCTTCCAACTATAAATTAAATCATTGGTTGCACTGGGATCTCTGGCCTTATGTAGCAACCTTTCAGGAAGAAGGAAAACTCTGAATTACAAGCGGTAAATACAATGGGAAACCAATCGACTCTCTTTCTAAAGAATGCATGTCAACTCGCAGGCAATAAGTACAATTCTATAAAGACCACTGTACGCCTACACCTTGAAAGGGTATGACATTAAAAATGCGTGCATCTGTACGTGTGTGTAAGCGTATATTACTTTATTCTGATCACGTGATGATGAATAGCATATAAATAAAGACCTATGTTTATATTTTTTTATGCTGTGTATAAAGCCGTTGTCTTCGGCGTGCGATATTTCTGAAAGACAAATAGGAAACATTTCAAAGATTCATCACCATTCCAACTTTGCGAGCCAAAATCCGTGAATCTCTAATCCTTAGATTCGCAACCTGAGACCGAAGTTATTGATTCCTTTCTCGTTTCAATCTGATAAAAATTTCTCTACCCAAGGGCATTAACGATAGATTCAAAGACGGCGGTATAGTCTACTTCGAGAAGAGCACATGAAAGGAAACGCAGGGGTGTGGCTGAGGTAAAAGTAGGAAAGAATCCATTGAAAGGTTTATCAGAAAACTCTTTTCCTGGAGCCAAGACTGCCATTCCGTTACCTTGGTGCTTGTTGAGCACAGGTAGCAGTTTCCTGTCGGTTTTGGCGGATAAATAATAAAGGGCGGGAAAGCGAGCTGTCTATGAAAAATAGGTGATTGATAAAAGAAAAAATATGTAGGCAGATGAGAAGTGCGATTAGAAAGGGGATGAAAATGGAAAAAAAATTTTTTTGAGGGAGGAAGGAAAGGTGACGTGAGGTGAATTTAATCAGGAAATCCACTAACAAGAAAAGAAGAGAAAAATGGGATTTATGTTATTGAGAGATAAAATTGGAAAGGAAAATCAAAATAAGGGAAAGAAAGAAAGAAGAAAGAAAGAAACAAGCAAACAATAACAATTGTAATAAGAACGAAAAAAAGACATAAAAAGAAAGATTGATTATTGTAATAAGAAAGAAAGAAAGAAAGAAAGAAAGAAAGAAAGAAAGAAGAAAACATGAAATGAAAGAAAGAGTAAGAAAACGAGAGAAAGAAAGACGATACAGGAAAATAAGAAGAAAAAGAGAGAAAGAAAGAAAAAAATTAAATAAAATGAAAGCTATTCTATAATCGAAAAAGAGAGATGAAAGAAAATTTTCAGAATTCGATCCTCACAGGATTGCCCCTATTTTCGGCCTTGTGCTACATCTACGCTACGCTAGGAAAATCAATATATATATATGAATATATATTTCTAATGTGAAATCATACCAGCTATCTATCTATCTATCTATCTATCTATCTATCTATCTATCATATATATATATATATATATATATATATATATATATATATATATATATATATATATATATACACACCGGGTGATAGAAAAATTATCCAAATCGGTAAAAGCAAAATTGTCCATTCGTTAGATTCAAATTTGAACCCTAGTATCTAAGAAATTTTTGAAGATATCTTACTGGAATTCTCAAAGCTTCTCCAAGATTTTAAAACTCTATTGGTCACTACTTTGAACAATAAGAATGTATAATTACTTTCCAAGCTTAACAGAAGAATTATCGAAAATTATATAATTAATCATTAACTAATATATATATATATATATATATATATATATATATATATATATATATATATATATATATATATATATATATATATATATATTCCGATATATATATAGTTAATATGAATATATAATTTTCGTTGATATATATATATATATATATATATATATATATATTTAGTTGGATTGATGTGAGTTTGTGACCTAGGGTTTCACGCTTTTGCGTTTGTCTGACGATCGCAAAAGCGTGAAACCTAAGGTCACAAACTCACATCAATCCAACCAAATATGTTAACTCTATCTCTGATATTGTGCGCTTTGTAATAAGTACCGCATATATAATATATAAATTATATATATATATATATATATATATATATATATATATATATATATATATATATATATATACACTTTTCACACACATACACACATACGTTTCGGCGTTACTGTTCCCTCTTTTTTTAAAACTTATCCGATGTTCTCTTGATGGTTCTTGAACGGACTTTGAAGATGGAAACCAGAGTATGAATACCATTACTGAAGTCATGAATGATCTTTTTCCTCTCACCATTGCTCAGTTGGGATGATATAGTGGGGCTGATACGAGACGATTTTAACTTGTTCTCTTTCTGGCTGAATAACTCATAGGGCTTTTCAGCGATTCTTACGACGAATGGTATCAGGATGACTAAACCTCTTATCTGAAAACCTGGAAAAAAGATACTCAGTTAGTTTAGTGCTGTTTAGAAAGTAAATATTTTGTGAGATG